TATTTGAAAACCAACGGTTCCAACGAAGCTGAGATAGTCTGATTTTTAAAGTCCCAGTAGAGTGGCAAAACAACTTATTTGGTGACTGTTCTTTACATTCTCAAGCCTTTATATTTTTCAGTTTTTTTGTCTTTAACCCTTGTAACTTCTGATAAAAACTTCTTTCTCAACTTTAAATTTCTCAAAGAATGTTTTTGTCAGGAAAACAAAGAAATTTATTATTTTGTTGAAAGCTGTAACTCATTTCATCTCCTTTGAAATCTAGCAATCTGCAGACATGGGCACTACTCTGTTAATCATGGCATGGCACCGTGCGTGGAATGTCCAAAGGGAACATACCAAAACAGAGAACAACAGACTATGTGCCACGCATGCCCAGTAGGATCGATTACAACGAAAGTGGGAAGTGTTTCATTGTCTGACTGCTTCTGTAAGTATTGGACCCACAGAGTTAAAAGATTAAACTACAGATCAAATTATGTTTAGTAGCGAGTGGATTCTGTGGAGGTAAAATCGTGGAGAACTTGGAAAAAAGAACTCTGGAACAAAAATGGGATCCAGGAACGAACTCCACCAAAATTTGACGCCTACTAAATGAATCGAACCCAGGCCACAGCAGTGAGGTCGAGTGTTCATATCGCTGTGCCATTCCTACACCCAAGGATCTCTGCTTGAACGTTATAACTAATTGTTATCGATCCCGTGTGCTATTCAATTTTCGCAGCTCCTCTCCGTATCATGATGACCATCCCAGATTCTGATCATGTCGTGAATGAGGAAACAACCATTACGCTCGCTTGTTACATTGAGGGCATCCCAACTCCAGCAATAACATGGACCAAGGTTGATGGTAAGATTCGTTATGCATTTCATGCTCTTGATTAATTGCATCCACAAAATGGCTCTAAACCTCTTACATCGCCACGCTAATAACATCACGCTAAAGGCTAAGAGCCAGTAATCAAAATTATTCCTAAAGTAAACTAGAAAAAATCACGCAAGATTTATAATCAACGGAGTTGACTGACAACCTTCGGAGTATACCGGTATTCGACTGTGTTTTCACCTTTCGTAGTTTCTCCGTATCAAAAAATCTCTCGCACTTTGAAATATGCTTTATGGAATGACTCACTTAGAGATTAGAGATGTCCGTCATGCGCTGAAAACAGCGCTCTATTTAACTGACTTATAATAACTTCTAAGACTTGATTTCACCTGGTTAACCTCCTAATATACCAGTAAACTTCCTTGTAAACCATGCTAGAAATTTTTTGCAGAGGAAATTCCTTCTGGGCGGCTCAAAATCCGTAATCTCTATGACGCTGATGCGCATTTAGATGGCATTGAGTATTACATTCACGATGCTGTTGTTGCCGATTCTGGTACATATGAATGCAAGGCTACAAACAAACATGAATCAGTTAGCAAACAAGTGAGAATCGAAGTACTGGCCAAGTCTTCATCTGGCGCATTGCCTTAATAGGTTAGATATGGACTGAGCGTGTGCTTCAGCGAGTAAGGTTCGAAGAGCGCTCCTTTTGTTTGGTATGAGAGTTCATTTGCTTTCCTGGTTATTTTTTATGATGACGGAAAAAAAAATATGATTTGGTCATTCAGGTTTTTAATTTCTCTTGAGGCTGCTACTCATGCTTCTCACTGTTCAAAAAAGTAAAATACTTAAATTCAGCCAATGAAAATTATCCTTTTCCATAGTTTTACTACATGTAGGCTGGTTTTGTTGGATATATTTGTTTGGCACTGTAAGGGTAGGGTAAGAGAGTGGACTTGGATTAAAGGTAGTCTTTTTCTTACTAGGAGAGACTGAAGTTTGGGTTTTTTTGGCATGGGCAGCCAAGTTTTCACGTTCCCTCTCTCTCTCAATATTCAAACGTATAAAAGCTTCTACAAAGTTTTAGTCCAGTTGGAAGGAAGCCATCTACGTGTACAAGTGCAATACCTCGCGCTAACTAATGCGTCAAAAACCTGTACAAATTTGTATTTGTACAGTCTTGTAGGCACACTTTTGATTAAAATGATTCGCTTTATTTTCTTTCAGAAGCCCTGAACTTGACGAAGCCAAAACGTTATGGACCAATTTAGGATGATCTGTACGTCTTTTTATTAACAGACGATAGAACTAAATAAATTTCAGTAAAACATAAGCAGCCTTTTTTTCGTCATCTTTTAAATAGCTTAAAGGGATTATTTCATTCGCAGTTAATTTCGCATGCTGGTTTACTTCTTAGATCTTGATATTGAACATCATTGTGCATCGTAATGCACCATCACATTATATTGTTTTTCTTATATTTTCGCAAAGAGTCTATATTTTTTTTAGTTATTATTTCGGGAAGGCTAATTAGCCTGTGCTGACAAAAGAACGGCCTGCTCAACATAGACAAAAGAAATATGGGGTATTAAAAGCAAGAGCTATGACAAACTTTTCGGTATTTTCCAAAAGAGGATATGGAGTTACATGTTTTTTACGTGATTCTACCCGACTGCACTTAAAATCTCTCTAAATTCCGCGATACAGCGTGGTTCAGTTCGCAGCAATATCTCCGGGACAACCCACCCTGCGTGCATGTGCTCTTGCTACACAAATGGGAAAATTCGCTGTGGCAATCTCCCTTGGCAAATGTGTGTACAATTTAAAATTTGTGAAAATTTTTGTTTTCCATGTCAAAATGTTCTCGCTGCTATCTATGTGCCCATGCAGAATTTCGTAATACACGCGAATCAGCGCGAGGGCTAAACGGTCTAGCTTAAAGTGCAAATGGAGTTTCCCGGCTGTGGCTAAAAAGTTCGCTTTGATAGCGAAACGAATACGAATTTAAATACGGATGCTTTGTTTCAGAGTTGTAGGGCAATCGAGATTTTGTTTGAGCTAAATTGAACACGACGTTAGAGATTATCAGTTCTAAACCCGTTCAGTGGTTTGTTTCTTACAGCCGTAATGACACAGGGATTCCCTTTTTCCTTCATGAAGGAGGTTGAGAAGCTATAAATAAGGAAGCAAACAAGCGCCTGTATATTTGCGATAGAAACTTGTATTCTTTTCTTGCGTCTCCACCTGCTGCTGTACACAGATAACCTACATCCTTAGGGTGCAACAATATTTTATTCATTTAAAATGAGTTGTTTTCAGTTGTGGCGTCAGATAACGATTTTCGCAAAACGAGTTCAAATATACGTAGGTAAGCTGACAGAGGTGTTTCCTATGAAGGGGGAGAAATAAAAAAAACTTAAAAACTTACAGCGATGGAGAATTTATTCATGTTGGGAATCAGTCGTGTTCCTAACTTTGGGAAAAAGAAATAATTTTAAATGCACGACGACAAATGCCTCTTCACTCCTAAAAAACAAGTTTAGTTCAATCAGCTTTGAAATTATGAAAATCAGCGACAGAAAACTAGAAAAACTCTGAATTTCAAACAGGATTCGAGAAATCACTGTCATGTATTTTCACTGTGCTAAATTTGCAGTCCACAAACATCAGCTTAAACAACTATTTGGATAAGACAGTTTCAAACTTTGTGTGACAAAACAGCTTTAAAATGTGTTTTAGGTTTTATTTGAATTAGTCACAATGCACCAATATAATTCAGCAACTTCCCAATGTAGGCGTTCCTGTTTGCTTGAAACTAAAATAGATTTGTCGTGCTCAACGACTAGCCAATTCACAAATATAAAGTTTGTTATTATTACATATATCTAAACATGGGGGCGTGCATAATGTGTAAGATTTTTTATCTTTATTATCTATATTTGCCATCTGGTCTTTGCTTCTCTGGAGAATTTTTCTCCCTCACCTGAAGTAAACGTGTACAACTCACAACTGTAAGAGCGTGACAAAATCAAATTTACCGCAACGATTAACGAAGACCTTATCTGATGAATCATAATTTTTACTTATCATTCACAGTTGCTGTGAACGTGTCTTCATGTCATTGAGTAAACAAATCCACTTAGTTGACTCACCTGTCTACCCGGGAAAGGAATAGCTTCGAGAGAGGAGACGAGGTCTGTTACCGAGAAAAGAACACAGAGGTTTTTGTGACTGGCAAAGGCCGATGCTTCATCAGGCCATCAATAACATCTGAATACTTCGCGCTTTTCTTGCTGAGCAATATTTAAAAAACCTGTACGGTTTATTACAGTCTGTAACTAAAATTAATCTTTGACAACTTTATAAACGTATCAGATTTCAAAAAAAAAAATTTTTTTTTGCTCTTTTTCTGCAAAGCTCTATTAAGGACTATTTGAAGAGAGAATAAAGTTAGAACTAGCGTAGTTGGTCATTCGCCTTTGATGCGAACGTTATGCTTAAACTTACAACTGAACAAATAGACGCCCTCCACGTGCTGCTCAAAGCCACCCACGATGTTAAAGCAGTCAAAACATTTTGAGGTATTATTTCCCAAGCGACAGTACTGCTACATAAATGGAAATCCTCCGCTTATTTACTAGTGAGTACCACTTTTTTGACAGTTTAAAACATTGAGAGAAATTACGTTCCCTACCTTGACTCCTCAAATTTCTTTCTTTGAGGAATTCTTAGATTCTCTATTTCTTTTCGTTTATCTGACAAAGAAAGCGGAGGATTTTCATACACGATTTCAGTTAAATAGCCATTTAGTCGAGAAGAAAAGATGAAGTCTATAGAAATTCAAAAGTTGTTTTAAAAACATTATAATAGTCCATGTTGAGTTGTATATTTAAAGTTGGTCCGAAACGTTCTAATTAATTCGGGTAAACATAGCGCTATATTACTTGTTTCTGTTCACTGCCACTAGGATGTATTAACTCACCTGTTATTTGTATATCAGAGCAGAATTTACACACCTTTCCTACGCTACGTATTTTGTGACATAACGATCTCAATTTAAGCAGCTTCAATTTATCAGTTTGCCGCAAACTGCTCAGTAGAGCGCAAGCAATAGTTATGCTTGAGCTTAGTTCAGTTTAAAGCTTACGTATATTCATAGAAGTTAATCATAATGGAAAAAGCTGCGTCTTTCATACTTCTGCTCACGGTTTTAGTGGCATTGTGGAGTTGTGCAACCGGAGCCAGTAAGTAGCTTAATGACTTTTGCTCGCCTTACAACTAGAGCTAAATTTCCGTCAAAAGAAAATATTTGTCCTAATTCAGGCCTAGCGTAACTGATTTTCTGAGCATTTAATTCATTTGAAAAAGATTTGAAAACCACAGGGAGGTTTCAAACAAGTCATGAGAACTGAACTTCATAATGGGCCTCGCTCACCATAGAGTCTCTGTGGCTCAGTGGTAGAGCATCGGAGTTCTAAGGCTCGATTCCTCATGGGGACTCAGAATTTGATTTACCAATTATTTTATTCTCAAAAATAGCGAATGGTGGCTGGGCCAGTTGGTCAAGATGGAGTGGCTGTGCAGCTGGTATTTGCGCAGGAAATCAGCGGATCAGAACAAGAACTTGCACCAATCCCCTTCCCTCTGACGATGGGTTGTACTGCGACGAAGGAGATAGTTCACAGCAACAGGACTGCCAGAGTAAGAAGAAGATATTTATTTTTTGAGATTACTGGGGTCTTCCTGGCGTATTTAAAGAAGAAGCACCTGAATGCTATAGCTCTGCTTTTGAAAATTACGCTATCGTATTCTGTTGCATATTCTGTTTCGTATTCTATTTCCGAGCTGTCCCAAATTTCCTTCTTCATTCGGCCGGCAGCTCTCCCCTCCTTTAAATAAGAGTTTTACCGCCTTACCTAAGGAGTAAGACCAATATTTATGTGATTGGCATAGCAAGTGGATGCCACGTAGCAGCACACAGGTGATACCTTGACCCTAATATGCATGCACACAACACCAATATGACAACGTGACCAAGGAAAAAGTAGTCCTTTGTGATGCAATGCCTTAGTTTGACTGATAACTAAAATTTAAATTCTAAGAATGAATAAAAACAAACGAATACACTCTGATCAATGCTACTCGAACTGGAACTTGTAAGTATTGACCGAACTGGCCTATCTTTTCGCGAGAAATTTATGATCAGTTGCAATAGATGAAAAGAAAAAAAAACAGAAATGACAAAACTAATATTAATAAGAGGATATGGAAGAGGGGAAATTGTTGAGGAAAAGGATTGAAGAAGAAACATATCTAATCCCTTTTTTAATTATTTCTTTTCAGTCGACGGTGGCTTCACCGAATGGAGTCAGTGGTCGATATGTGAAAACCCTTGTGGAGGATCTGTAGTCAACAGGACAAGAGGGTGTACTAACCCCACCCCCTCTCCAGACGGGATGCCTTGCTCTGGACCAACAGTTGAAACCAAAATGGAGTGCGTGGGGCCATGTCCGAGTAAGTGAAAAATATCTATAATATTTTAATGAACTGAATAATTTATTTTCCAAGTTGTCAATTAATTGCAAGAAATGAGCAATTGGAATATGGGAGTAAAAATTGGTGAAATATTTTCTTTGAATACTTGAGCTGGTTATGCTGAAGAATTAAGGAAATGAACTTCATTACGTAGTATTTGAAAAATTTTTTTGAAGAAAAACGTTTAGAAACTCACTAATTTAGAGTCAGTCTTATGGGATCGTATCAGCAGCTACATCATATTGATTATTGAGTATTTCAATTTCTCACGAGGCCATTGTTCTCCTAAGCTAACATTAAGAAATGAACACAGTCGATCATTTATCAACAAACAAACGACATTCAATACTCACATTTTTTCCTAAACGATAAACAAATGCTTGAAACGCCTTTTGAAGCAAAATGTCAAAGGCAATTGACTTACCTCCGACAACTCAAGCGAACATTTATTCAAGTGGTTTACTAGTTTCCAAACTCAGCAGCACAAAAGTAACTTAGAAATGTACAAAAGGCTTCCGTATTTCTCATTGGTTTAATTTAGCGGGCCCTCTGGATGGTAACTGGGGTTTCTGGTCTCCATGGACGCGGTGCCCTAAGACCTGTGGTATATCAGCAGGATCTATCATCAGTAGAACAAGAGTGTGCAATAATCCACCTCCAATGAATGGCGGGAAACAGTGTGTTGGAGATGGCAGAGAAAGTGTTCGATCTTGCTTTGCGCCTTGTCCAGGTAAGGATGGCTCATTTTCATATGACTCACGAACGCTAGCTGTACTTTAAAGCGAATTCTTTTTCGTAAATGCCCATCCAAACTGGAGAGGCGAGCGGACAGAGAAGCTGAACATTGTATTGTTGAATCCAACCTAATTCAACTCGTCTTTTCAGAACTAATCATCGGTTGGTTTGCCCCCTTTTCGTTTTGTTTATAGTCGATGGTGGGTTCGGTTTATGGTCAGCATGGGCAACATGTAGTAAGACGTGTGGCACTGGTACCAAGTCAAGGAGCCGACTGTGTAACAACCCAGTCCCTGCTAGTGGAGGAGAAAACTGCACTGCGGATTTCACTCAAGCGAGGAGTTGCCAACTTAAATCATGTCCTGGTAAGTAATCACAAACTCTTTTTTGTCAAGATTACAACAGTTTTTAAAGAATGAAGCTGTTCTTAAATTTTTCAAAACTTTAACATTTTCTTTCGTAACAAACAAACAGAAAAACAACAAAAAGCACATGCAGGTAGAACGATAATTATTGCTTGTTTGAATACTATTCAGGTGCCGTAAATGGAGGGTGGACACCGTTTTCATCTTGGAGCACGTGCACGGAGTCCACCAATTGTCTTCAAGGCACTAAGAAAAGAACCAGAAGCTGTACCAACCCCCCTCCAGCAAACGGTGGTGACTCTTGTGTTGGTCTGGCTGAAGAAGAGAAGATTTGTCCAACGCAAGCCGATGGATGCACACGTAAGAAATTATAAGATCTAAATTTTGCCTAAAAATTTCTTGTAATGTCATTGGAAGTAAACCCAATCGAAAATTGAGGTTTAGCGAAGTTCGCAACGGTTTTCTCGGGTGTACCAGTGACTCAACGACATGCTTAGTGATGCAGACGAGCAAGGCACTGCTAGGTTTATAGACGTGCACTTTTGTTGTTGGTAAAATCTGTAGAAGAGGTCTAACTTAAGTTTTCCTTTTTTTTTTTTTTAATTCTAGCCCTCAGGCCGCAAAAACCAGACAAAACGCAGGCCGATCCAAACTCCTGGATTGCTCTCGAGTGTGGAGCGGCCGAAAAGTTTTCTGCAACAGGTTCTTACAAACAGGATATCCCTGCTGCTGTTTATTCAAACTTTGACTTCATGAGAGCTGAGCTGGAGAGCGGTTATTTTGCTGTGCAAATGGTTCCTGACGATCAAGATGATTATGGACGAAAGCAGCTAAAAAAGGTGTGGTTACACAAAATTAGACTGCGCTCTGTTCGTATCGAAGATGGCAATTTTTTGCCTATGATCTGTTGTTTTTTCAGGTATGCTTTGAGATAACGACATCCTTAACCATCGACAAAGTCGTCACTAACAGGGCAGGATACTACAAAAGTATCGATGCTTTGCCAGAGTGGACTAAGCCCGAGTTGACGGAGACTGTTCCTGCATTTACCATCTGGATTGATGAGTCACAAAGTCTTAGAAAGTATGAGTTTCAGTGCGCAAAATCGGATGAGTATGTACCACTGCCGGGTTTTATAATTAAGGATGTAAGGTGAGTCTAACGTTTCAGTGAAGCTTACTTCCATGTTAACATCGCACACCAAATATAGTATTAGAAAGAACGCTAGCCCTCATGTATCAAGCTCATCTAACTGCAAATGATTTAAGAAAAAAAAAAGGCTCAACGGAATGACCGAGAAAAGACATAGGCAGTCGGAGTTTACAGTCATCTCGCCATCAGGAAGACTCGCCACCAGCGAGCTCACCATCAAAGAAAGCATTTTGGAAAATTGATAAAAGCAGAAAAAGGACGTGCAAAGGAATCAGAGAGTAAACGAGCCAATCGTTGACTAAGAAAGATGAACTAGTCATCAGATTAGTTTGGCCAAAAAATAGCTAAGCGCTGGCTTAGTCGCTGACTCACTCTGTATGATGTCAGGTCTTATAAGCACGTTTTTCCTTATACCTTTTTAGTAACCATTAGCAAACCAAGTCTAAATCAATATTTATATGAGTTAGAACGGACTTCATATTCAGCCTAGTTATGGGGTTAAAGGGTGCATCACTTTTGCAGGTTTTCCTACTACTCTCAGGGAAATTCCCAGACATTCAAAGCCAAGGGCAAATACACTTTGCAGACAGGAACTGTATTCGAAACAGAAGTGAAGAAAGATGTCCTCACTGGAGCAGTGCACGCGACAGGCAACGCTGAATCAGTTACCTTTATTGACATGATGGTCTCATTCGGTTTAGACATCAACATCCTACCAGACTTCCTTGTCACGGCATTGAAGTGAGTTTTTTGTTGTTATTGCTGTTGAGTCATCAATTGCTTAAGCTCACCTGCAATTTCTGTGTTAGTGAGTTCTTTGAGCAATGTGAAATTCGAAGGGGAAAAAAGGAAAGGTCCTTCTTTCGCCAAAAGGCTAGCTCCTAATTTGGCTGATCCTCGCTGCACAGAGGCATTAACAGTAAGTGGACCCATGACTTTTTTGTTACCCAGTAGGCTCTCTCTGGCGAAGGGCTAACGCTCGAAACGTCAGCTTGGAAACTCTTTACAAGTACTAATTTACATTATCAACTCGTAAAACTTCATATCACCAAATTATCTTGTTATATACCTAGAAAATTGCCCCCTTTATGGACTTGTGTACTTTTTAAGCAACGAAATCCTTTCCTCGACCCATCATTTGGACTAAGAAATTTAAAGGCATGTTTCGTAAAAGTAATACCGATACTTAGGTGCACTTCACTCTCGTTAGCCTTTCAAAATCTAAAGGCTTTTCTCTTACAAGGGATATCCCTATTAATCCGCTTTCGTTTGAAGAAACACACGTTTTCTGCTTTCGTCTACACTAGCAAATCGTAAAATTTTGGCATATGGCTTCAAAAGAAGAGTCATGGGAGTGAATCGTTTTTGAAAAGCTCCATTTTCCCACGTGAACAGGAAAACCTGGATGTTATTGAAAATGGTGACGTAGAAAGAGTAACTCATTTTCGTTTTTATCAGCATCTTCATGGTTTTTAGTGCGGACGAAAGGAAAAAATGAATCAAAAATACGGTTTTTGAAGTAATCAAATCTACGTGCGGATGAAGCCACAGCAAAAGCGCTTAAGTACACATATTAAGTATTTGACTTCCATTCAGTCGTTCAAATCAGTCCAGTTGAATGAGTGATTCTTTTCTTGCAGGAAAATAGGCCTATGGGAATTCACCATGTCTCCTGCGCAGCTGACAAGAAAGCTTGTTAGGAACGGCGTTATCAGATTCACATCTTCATTGGATTTGGGTGGTGTTCCCGTTCATATAGAAATTTTGACAGGAATTAGATTTGGAAGACCAACATTTGCAGTGGGTTTTTCTTTCGATCGTTACTCGTATGGAAAACTGGCGGAGAAGCTATCTGGAATTGGTGTTGATTTCTTGGACAAACTTGGTTTGGAGTTCGAGGTAAAACATCGTTTGATTGCAGTTTTTTTCCCTCTTGTCAGCGTAATTTGCTTTCATTCTAAGGAGAATTCGTCATAAACCAGTCATTGATCTGATTTAATTCTTTGAAATGGATTGGATAAAGCCGACAGGAATTTGCGTGGCTCTAAGTTTGTGAACTTTCATTATCGTCTGTGAGAATGATTATGCCACCCTCAGGGCCTAAAAATTTCTTTGAAGACATGGTCCATAAAACTAAAGCTCGGCGATTGTAAATTTGTTACACGTGTTCAATCATTTTGTTATTTTAAGGTATGAAATGTAAATAACGAATTAATTATCACCTCTTTTCAACTTTTATTATTTCAACAACTTAATTATATTCACTCTTTTCATTCTTGTACAATAATTACTAATATACATGTATTTGACAAGTACGACTAAGAACTTGAATGATTTTTGATTTAATTAATTCCTCCACAGATCGGAGTATCTTTTCACCCGCCGGCACCCTTCCAGCAACTCCTGGTTGATTCGGAAACCAAGTTTTCCAAAGAACCATTGCACAGTTTTGTCACAACTAGTGTTCCGCAAGGTACATTTTGGTCTCTAAAAACTTAGCAGAGAAAAACTTAGCAGAGGCTTATAAGCTCCAACCGTCAGTCAGTGAATACACTCACATGCATGACAATTACATTTTTCAGTAAGAGTTTGGATTGATTTCAATTGGTAAAACCTTCACCCTTTTCAGTACGCGATTTCACTATGATCGTGTAGTAAGATCGTCTTGTGACAGGCTGTTCTTACTAATAGTGACTGACCCTTGACATCCTGTGTGCAATTCATCATTACAGTCAATGCATTTACTATACACCAATTCACTGTTAAGCAAATCATCAGGGTAAATTGACCACTCAGGGCAAATTGATACACTGATGAAGTTTTTGATTGATGAATTGAAACTGTGTTTTGACCTTCCGATATGTATAGGTATCTTCGCTGCCGCTCAAATCATTCTCCCAAGAGACTGCAAAGGCAATAAATTCTGCGAAATTATGAAGCTGATCGTAGGGCCAACAATAAAATGGTATATCACCGGTCAATTTCAATGGAGAAAAATCCGGGTTGCCACAGGTTTCGCAAATGTCCGTATCTATGATGGACTATACTTCCACAAGCTTGAGCTCTACGTGGAGGTACGCATTAAGACTGCATTTTGACTTCTTTTTCATCTAATTTCAATATTTTCTCGTGTACAGATGAGTTACTTTGAAGCAATTTGGTCATATTTGAAAGAAGCACTCTCGACTGAGATAATGTTTGATCTCAGTCCCTATTTGTAGCCCAACATGCTCTTTCAAAGGAGCAGAGGCAGCAACACCATGAAAACAATTCTAAGAGGGTCTCAATGGGGTGATGGTTTTTACGGCTGACAGTTAAACGTTTGGCTATTTTACGGTTACGATTCACCTAAAATAACTCAAAGCGGCACATTGGAAAAGTTTTTAAGGTTGAAATTTTTATTAGGACTAACGATTAAACTTTATCAATTTTACGCCTATAGCCTGATTTTTTTAGCCGTTTTAACCCCATTAAGACCCCCTTAACGGATAGCACCAGTAAAGCACAGAATAATAGACGTGTAACTTGTATGAAAGATAGTTACTTGTATGGTCAAAGTAAACAGTTTATTTTTATCGAGTATACCCTTTTTTTACTCTTTCTTTCTATTTTTTTTCCGTATTCATTTCTCAACAAGGCTGACTGGAATGACTCAGCAAATCACATCAAAATTGGGTTCCGCGCAGACATCAAAGTACCGGTGAATGGCGACATCTATCGTGACGGAATCAGAGCGCCAAACAGTGAATTGTTTCTGTTCGGTGTGTTAGAATACGATTTCCAGGAACAGGTGGTCGGGGGAAAACTGGGCATGAGAGGAATCTGGCGCAGAGCATTCTTCATACCATTCCTTGGCATTGGAAACATCTTCCTTGGGTAACACTCAAATTATGAATCAGCTTTCTTTGCTTGGGAGTGAATAGATAACACTGAAATTATTTTTAAAATGATTGTTAGGATAAAAAGGATACTAAAGAAATATAGTTGTGTTAAATGGTCGGCAGCAAATTAAACATGATTTTCTTCAGTGAAAATCAAAGTTGCGGGAGATGGAAATGTTGACTTTGGAAAGTCACTTAAGCAATAACTTCCTTAACTCCGAAATCTCTAGTATTTATTGATGGAAGATTCAGTTGAAGGACCGCTTCAACCCAACCATTGATTAAGACCTTACTACATTGGATTTCTGCCTGAAATTCTTCAGGGAAGAAAAAGATCTTGGCTAGGCTGCCTTTCTCGTAAACACGTTTGAAACTTTTATACATTTTTCAGCTTGACGTATAAGGTTGGAGCGCCCATACCCATCACTGGCGTGCAATTTGGAATGCGAGTGGAGTTTGGATATGACTGTCTAATACCGGCGGACTTCAATAACGATGTAAGTTCAAAAACATACAAGATTCCACACCTTTCGTATTCTCGAGAGACTCACACGAAACTTTCATCTTTAGTTATACTAGCAGTATGCATGTTGCATGTCATATATTCGCTAAGAGGTACAGCCACAGATTACTCTTAGAACTGCAGAGCCTCAGAGCGCAGAATCCGAAGTTAAAAAACTCCCATTCCTCCCGAAGGTACAGAATTCGATTTTTTTCTTCAGTTAAGGCTTGAAATGGGACGAAAAGTATCTTTCTGTAAATCATACTGAACATCTGTTTATGTTGCGCTGACCAAGATAAGTCAATTAGCCACACAGGAACGAGCTACTATAATTATTTCATTCTTTACCCTTAAATCGGTTTTTTGATGGTAATAATTTTTTTTCAGGGGCACTGTTTCGGAGGAAGTGGCTATTTTGGTGTTGGATCACCACAGTTTTTTTATGCTGATTTTGACGCACTAACACTTGGAAAAATAATTCGTCTCTTGGGATTCACTATTCCTCTTCCGCCGCCGATAGCACAGACTGGCTTCCCGGAAGGCGGATCGGTATGTGTGGATTAAAAGGACTGTTTCAATCATCTCCTTATCTGTGGCTTACTTTAATTTTCATCAATTGTTCAGGTAGACTACTTTTCGAACCTGTGCCAATCAATGGAAACAAATTCTGACAATGCATCGAATTCGAAACATAGATTTGAAAACTGTATCGATGCATAGGGCGCAGAAAAAGGTTTCTTTAAAAAGTTGTAACGGTCCTAGCGGATAACTTGCAAACCAATCAATCCTTAAATAAATCTTTAATTGTGTTACTATGAAAACCTGAAGCTTGCAGTTATGAGGTAACTTTTACAAGATGTAAGGCGCGAAAGTCCATCTGTAGGGTAGGGTTCGGTTTAGTACACAAGTAGCTGTATTGAATTGACTATAATGTAAATAAGTGCCGTTTATTTATTGCAGGGATCTTACGCGGAGGAAGCGTTCGACCTGAGAATCGCCAATGGTCCATACATCCCTGAGGGCTTTGCTATTAAAGGAAGGGTTAATACTTTCGGATGGTCAATTTATGCGCATATCAAGTTATCAGAATCGGTAAACAACCTACTTACTGTCTAACTATATTTCGATGTGACAATCAAGGCTTCACATTTGTATAAGCAGTCGTTATCAGTAAAAGAAATCATTCTTAACGAAAACCATGACGAAGTTTTGGAAACGTGATTTATACTTTGGCTTGTTCTTGTGCCTTTTGCGTTTGATTTATGCTTGTGCAACGGCTAGCTGACAGCGGAAAGGAAAGAGACAAACCAGTTTGTGTTTTGTGTTATTTTAGATAAATAAACGCTATGGCGCAAATGGATCCTTAAGTGTCTTGTCCTCTCAAACTAAATGAGTTGAAATGTGCAACGTTTGAATGTCCATGTCAGATTGTATTTATGAAATGATGTTATCAGTTGTGATATTTTGATCAAGGCATTTGTTTCTAATTGTGTTGGAGTGAATTTTTCTAGGCAATTTTTATCGATCTAAAACCAGACCCGATAAAAATCTTGGACCTTATAACAATCGTCCGCAGTCCCACGGATAAGGACAAAGGACCTTGGTGGTATTTAGACGCAAGAAAAAGTCCGCCCTTCATTGAGGTAAGTTGTGTTGTTATGTTGCAGAGTCACTATTACAATTCATTCTTATATTTTGAGTGCACCAATTCACTTTTCCTTGATATTAGAACCATATTAAGGCGGTAAACGATTTTTTTAAAGGAAAATATAAACATTCAAATACATATCGTGTAGACCAGCATAAGTTTTCTTAGAATTTCTTTGGCTTCTTTAATAGCGATGTATAAGTAAAACATAACTTCTTTATTTCATAAGCCAGTAGGGATTCCTTCATGGTATAACTCATTCCAAATTAAATTCCTTTGGCTGAGATAGGAGAACCCGGCGAGAATTTACATATGGTTTTCAAGCTGGTGATGGCCAGTGCGTAGCCGAAGTTTGAAAAGCACCTGTTCGAACGCCGTTAACAACAATATGGCAAAATTTTTCGCCCTGATTCTTGAAATTGTGACAAGGATGAGGGTGGGGGAACTGTCCATAATTTTTTATTATATCGTCTACTTTTTTCTTCCATAGTCGTATGTTGAGGGACACACCAACATACTGGGAATTTCAACTTACTGTCGGCTGAACTTGACCACCACACGCATAGAGTTGCTAGTCCAAGGAAATTTCCTCAACCTCATCAAAGCTGAACTTTATATGACTGCAAGTTACAGTTTGACATGGCTGGGAACACAGTTCTATATTAGAATTAATGTGGACCTGCACGCAATCAATAACGTAAGGAAATGATTTTTTCCATATCTAACGAAAACAGTATTGACAAGTGATGATACTTGCCGTTGCAAAAGGTCCAAGAGAGAAAATGAGAGCGATCAAAAATACATCACTGTGACGGAGAAATAAGACAACGAAATTGAAAAGGTTATATGAATAACAATGTGCACATTCTTCGGGACGTCATATGAAAAAGTGAGCAAGTAGTAAAATGGAAAAAAAAAGAACGAAAAATTGATTGGCTTCCTCGGAAAACTGCTAGAAAATGCGATCAGCAGAGTCTTCCTTTCCTGGCTTTTCAAGTTGAGCAGGCCCCTCAATTCATAATTATACTAAGTGAAAAAAGGAGTTGCGCTCCAACTTAGCAAAAATAAGTGGAGTCTTGTCCGAGCCAAATATTTCCGTTATTGTTCATGCCCCTAAATCGCTCTTTCACAGGCTTTAGATGCAGCAGCGAGAGCTGTGAAAGGCGCATTTGACGCGGCCCAAATGGCGCTTGCTGATGCAAAAGCAAAAGTAGTAAGGGAAAAAGAAAACTGTCGAAGAAAGCTGACACTCGAGTGTGATAACTGTAAGAGGCTTAAGTGTGCTAAAGCACAAAAGGACTGTAAAGGATTCTTGAACGCAGCTGGAAAATGGATCGGTGGTGTTGTCGATAAAGCTGGTAAGAGTAAAAACCCTATTAAACAATAATGATAATCGCGGAATTAACTCCAGCCAGACCCTCAATGCGTTATGCATGGTGTAAATCCCGCAGGAGTGGAGGGGGACGTTTCCTCTTTCGATGTATAATGTAAAGAGTCACTTATGACAGAATAAGGAGCAAAAAAGCCGAGTTGACAAACTAAATATCTTACAAGCCACTATTACCAGCAATGATATTTGGAGATGCTCTCTAGAATTATGTGATTTTTCTTAACACATAGTCCATCGTTATTTGAGACTTGATAACGATACTGTAACACAAACTGGAATCCAGTCGTACCAAACCTAGGGAAGTATTAATTAATGTATCTGTGTAAGAGAATTCCTTTTAAGGTAAATTCCACGTATCATGGGAAAATTTGCATTACTTGATGAATTTTAAGTTAACAATATCTTTTTTTTTTCAAGGGAAATGGATAAAAGGAGCCTTCAAAGAAGTAGGAAAGAAGCTGGCTCCAGTAAGTAAATCTCTTAACGAAACCTCTCTGAAAACAAGCGATTAGACATAAAGCAATACATGTAGTTTCTAAAGGTGATTCCTTGGAGAAAATAAAAAACATATCGAACAAAGTTTTTATGCTTTCCTTAAATGTTCCCTATTAATATCTGCTGCAAAATTTTAAAGGGCATGGCCTCAAAGCTTTCCTCGAGTCGTTGCTTTCAAGGTCATAATTTTTACCCTCGAGTAACGGGCATCGTACACGCTTTTAGCTCTATCTATATTTCCCTTCGATGATTTTTTTTTTATTTAACCAATTCAAAAGGGATCATCATCACCAAAATTATGCAAAGAGAGGATGTAGGTCACCACGCTCGTTCAAGAGCCATAGACCATCGTACCTCTTTACATGGTCCATTGATTAGAAAATCGAATTTCAAGTGCGCGCGTTAATTAAACGATTATGTGACTTTTATACGTTGTACAGGACGCGCGGTGCAAAAGTGGGGAATCTCATTAATTCTATTAAAGCATATTTAAACAATGACTAGAGCTTGAATTTGATGGACATGAGATTTTTACTAAAATAATTTGACTAAATGCTTTGCAAAGAAAAAAGGCTCACGATGCTGACTGCCTCTCGCTAACAGGTCGGCAAAGCTATTAAGAAATTTTTCAAAGGCTGGAAAAGAAGAAGGGAGATATTGGACAAACGTAATGAGAATTTCGAACTCCATCTCCGACGACGTCGATTTATCAGCAAAATTCTGTGTGAGGGGCTTGTAGGAGGTGGATGTAACGGTAAGGATCAAAAAAGCTTTGTACAGCGGTTTTGTTTACATGAGTAACTATAAGACCTCAGGAAATTTGATTCAAAATAGCGCGAACAAATTTTGACTTTCCTTTCTGAGCCACATACTCTTAGAATTCCAACCAGCTAATGTCATCCTCATGGCAATACCATGAATAACATAAGTGAAATTTGTTTTCATTAATTCATAACGAATGGTACTACTCAACGATGGCATTTGGCTTGTGCAATGAATGCTCATGGCAATCAATCAATTGCAGTGATGTTATCTACCTATACCACCCGTACTTTCATTGTTGTTTTTATTGTGAATGCTTTTTTGCTGATTTACAAGGCTTTTGTAGAAATGATGTCGTTGCTTACAGGTTGTTAGTAATCGAAGTCTTCTTTGGTTTTCAGCGGTGTCCAGCCTTTGCGAGGGATCGTGTAAAGTGGTTAACCATATCGGTCAAGGCTTGTGTAACGTTTTGGATGTAGCCATTGGAGCTTTGACGATAACTGAACGCGCAACAGCCTGGGTTGGCAGAGCTATTGACTTCGTCCTGACTAAACTGTTCAGAGTGTACAGGTTAGATAGTTGTTTAACTTTGATTTACCTTACTATTTTCATACCAACCGTAAAACATTATCAAAATAGTCGAGACCTTCAATCCTTGCCTCATAGAAGTACTTGATGAAGAGATATTTATGGTTCCTGTAAAAAACTAGAGTAGAGCGCGCCTATGGCCTTCCAATTACTCAACTTACATAGACCCAACCTACATGTAACCCAGGCCACAGTGGTGGGAAGCGAGCGCTCTCACCACTGCGCTATCCTGCTGACCCATGGCTATAATTAATGTAAATTGGCCACACTATAGAGTTTCTAAAGCTGATGTTCGAGTGTTAGCCTTTCGTGTTTTGTATGCTCATATTCTGAATCCTGATTTTTATTTAATTATTTTCTTTGTACAGTATCAAATTTGAATTTAGCCTTGAAGCATACGCTAGAGGGGACAGAAATAACGTCATATTCAATGCAGCTATCGACTTGCTGATCTTTGGAAAACGCTACTATCTTGCAACCGAATTCAACCTGAGAGATCCAGTCGCAAGCCTAAGAAGTGGATCAGATAAAGCAACAGAATGGTACAAAAGCAACATGAATAACGAACAAGCAACCGCACCCGAATCGAACTTTTATGACAGTCCGAATCCATATGCTGACTTTGAGATGTCAGGTATAAAACAACAATTAAAAATGAATAGAGGCATTCTTAATCGGTGAATTGCAGCTTCTTGTACCACGCGAGTTCGTTTTCCGAATGATTTCGTGTGCATTCTTAATGGGTGATATAGAGCTTGAGGAAAAAATGAATTTCCCAGGACGTGAACAGGAGCCAGAAGTTGAGTTTCCCTTTTTCTAGGCCCTAGATTATATATAGTTACTCCTGTGGCGTGTAGAGAATCAAAGTGTGTTGTGACTAAGCGGTAGTTTTTGCTGTTTGTTTTCAGAAACATTTTTAATCGAGAATCAGCAAGCAGCAACAGATAGCAGGACTGGCGCCTGTTTGTATGTCGACTCTAAAGATGATGGAGCTTTTATTAAAGTTACGGGCTGCAATGAAAATGATGACAAGCAAAATTGGGCTTACACTCTGAAAGGACAAATTGAGGTTAGTGTATGGAGCCACATTTTTCGTCGGTAGATACTTTGATTACATCCAAAACAAGTGTGTAAAGAAGTAAAGTATTCTTTGTTATTTATGCCCATTTGGTTTCATAGTTCAGGTAGAATTGCTCTTTGAATGATTTTAAAACGTGTAACGACGAAGTTTTACCTCTGCTTTCTGTTTAAAAAGGGATCGGATTGCTTCGGATTGAAGTTATACGACGAACATATAAAATATTAAGCTTTATTCAGTAACAGTATAATTTTAACGCGTGTCTAAAATCACAACAACCAATGAAAGCAACGAAAAATGTATGATATGGGAACTGAAAGTCTATTAAATTCCAATTGACTAGACTGCGGGCAAACTTAAGTCAATAAGTCCTGATTGGTTTATGCTTTTCGAATGATTGTATGGGAGAGCAGCGCGAGTATCTGAACTAGACACATATCGAGAAAGAGCAACCCCACCCAATCTCGGATTACATTCGACAGTAATACTTGCCGTTGGTGGGGACAATCTTTAGAAATGAAATCACGTATTCAAACCTATATCAAAATTCTAACCAGATAAGTGGATGTAGTTTAATAGGCGGTCGTTCTGGCCGGACGGCTCTGATTTTATCCGAATTCTCCTTCTTATTCTTGATAAATGGACCAAGCTAGCTAGCTACCATTATTTCAAGAAAAAATGGTTATTCGCCTGAGTGAGTGATTTACAGCTAGTCGATGTTGCCAAATGGGCTATGATTCCATTTTAAGATACAGAAGTAACACGGTTGTGTCAAAATACAAAAATTCCTCACAATACTTTCATTGATTGTTGCTATTTTATGAAATTTGTAGAACTACTGGTCTAAGTTGTGTATTGACTCAGGCGGCGCTGCCACTGGTTCCAAACTGAAACAAACCGCATGCAATCCTGTAAGAGATGATCAAAACTTCCAGTGTGACTTGACTGTGAGAACTCTCATGAGAAGACGAAGTGATAAATGCTGGACACTGGGTGAGTAAAGATAAACTTTAAGCTCTGCTCAAAGAAAGACATGAATCAAACCTTGCATTCAGGTACGTGCTTCAAAACTTCCACAGCAATTTGTGACCGAATTCGAACCCCATTTTATACTAGGGCTCGTAAGGAGCACTTTGATCAAAAGAAAAAAAAAAAAAGAAAAAAAAACACTTAAGAACTCAATTCATTTGAAATCTTGTTATTCTTATTTCTTGTAATTCATTTACACATATCTGAGTTTGAACGACGATATCAACACAGTAGAAAACTAGACAGACCTTTCTCGGAGTGGGATGTCAAATTGGCGAAACAACCACAAAAAAACTTTGAACAGTTTCAAGCAGTAATGTGGTTCTACATAGGTACATCAACAATCAATGGTCCAGGCCCTCTGGTTCACCGCAGTTCCTCAAAATGCATTCACGTGAAGAATGGTGGTTTTAGTGCAGTACCGGATGGCACTGGATTAGTTATTTACGCTGGATGCTATGATGGGTATGAAAAGATTACCAGTTTTTAATGCATTAAACCAGAAACATGGGGAAAGGGAGAGGGGTGTCCTGGTGGTCAACGCAGTCGAACCTCATTGTCAGGGCCAGATCGAGTCCTGCAAACTTCATTGAATGCCTGAGGAGCGCGTATCATACCTGAAGAGGACTCTTAATGTACAATTGAAACGCTACGGTCCACATCGGAAGTAACATCATGAAATGAACAATTTTAGTTCATGTCAAGTGCATTCACAAGGACCAATAAATGGAACTTTTAACAATATAACTAAATATGGTTTTCGTTAAAATCACTTTCGAATAAAAGGAAAACCCTTGTTCTTACTTCAGTTCTTGCGATGCCACCCTTAGAATGGAATAAAAGAGTAAATGTGATATTGATAGCAGAGTATCAAAAATAGAGTATGGACCTTTGCACTCTCCCTAAGTCTCTCTACCTTCACACTTAACTTAGATATTTCTCTCGACCCTGATGTCAGTACTCCAGTCGAGTTTTAATCAGATTCAGGTAGCCTGAGAAAGTGTGCAATACCTTACAGTAAATATTTAGACGTCTGGTAAATATGTTGAAACGATTTTAAAAGCTGTCTTTTCTGTTGAACAGAGGAAGTTCTGCAAATCGATTAGAATTCGCCCTGGAAGATGGCTATTTGAAGCACATCAGGAGTGGAAAGTGTGCAAAGCCAATTGGAGCAGTCACTGATGATGTTGTTCTTGGAATGTACTCATCTTGCGAAGGACATAAATTTAGTTTCACAGCTGGAGGCTCATTACAACACATTGCAAGCAGAAAATGTGTCAACCCCAAATCAGGGGTGAGTATCGAAATGCAGCGTAATATTTGGATCATCATTTGCACATATGTACACTATGCCGGAAATCCCGTCCTAAATTTCGTAAAGGAAGCAGGTAGGGAAAGCTTTGATTGACGTGTTTAATTCCTTGTTGCTTTCACCCAATTCGCATGACGTAAGGTTATAGCTGCGATCTGTAAGAATAGGACAACCTATCCTCCCAGATCACATGATTTGAGTTGGATAGCAGGAATGAAAGCAAACACGTCAGCCGAAACCTGCTATTGTTGAAGGCATGAGAATTGCTGTTGGTCCGCCCCACGAGAAGATAATCGGTGTGATCAGGCGGCATATTTTGGACGAAGTTTCCTTTTAACTCACCTTGTGGGTCTCTAGTAATAACTGCTAGTGTAACAGTTTGCCTACGAAAGAGCCGACTCATCGCAAGGTAACGCAATTAAATGCTTCATTTAAAGGCTATAACAGAGGCATGTTTTCACCACAAAAGTGGATATACGATTATCAATATCTTTTTTTCAGGCCATGATCCCTGGAAATGGCGATGATCTGGTGTTGAATTCTAACTGCGAAAATAGTGACTTTTCAGAAAACAAGAAGCACCTTTTATACACTTTCCTTCCACGTAAGTTAGTTTGACATCTCAGTTTGCTTGAAGCATAAGTTTTGTTTGACAACTTTCCTGACACGTGAGTTAATTTGAAGAAATCCATTTTTCCATTCCAAGAAAAAAGTTTTTTTTTCCATTTCCCTTGGATATTTTATGGCGATTATTGCTTTTTCAATCAAACGTAATTCTTAAGCGGTTTTTTACCAAAACTGGTCCAATTTTAACTTTAGGTATAAATTTTTATTTTCGATGACTAGTGATATTGCTTTGACGACAAGTAGAATTAGTTGTGCTTTCTATACCGAAGCTCCAAATAATTGCGAAATTTATGTTAGTAATAGTTTACTCACAATCTACTCACTCGTTATTCGAGTTGCAAAAAATTTCATAGTAAAACTATTTTTCTTAGGAAATCCAGGGCTTTAGGTTTAAAGAACTCTTCTACGACGATGAGGTTAAGTACAAAAGATCATAGAATTCTTAAGGTGTACTTTTAAAAACCTGACGAAGACAAGCTTAATGTTTGCTTATCTTTTTTTCTCTAGGTAGCCCATATGTTACTCTTGAAAAGTGCACAAACTTTGATGAAGCAAGACTGGACCAACGATTTGAAATTATGGATGAATCAGTTGCGAGCATCTGTAGCAAGTTTGCGAGAAGTAAGTTTACAGTATTTCTGTGGTCAATGACACATACTGACCACTGCAGGCACGCACTACAGGTAAAGAATTCCATCTGAATTGATAATTTGGCACGTGTGCTTGACTGAGTTGGTCCTGTGATCTGACTGGCAAGTTGAATTAAGCCGGAGTCATTGTTCATTTGGTTAATTTTCGGTAAGGGGACAGTCATTGTGGTAGCCCCCTAATTTACCAAATAACACTACTACAAGTCTAAAGATCCTCCGCAGGAGAATAAGATATCTAGATCATTTAATTTCTTTGTTTTGTTTTGCTTTTTTTTTTGGTCCTTCAGCACAATCGCTCTTGTTAATGTAACTGATATCATTTATTTTTTGGTTTGTGGTTAATCAAAATCAGCCACTTGTAGCCGTTCTTCGGACAAGACGGAATACTCGTTGAAGCTTTTTTCGAGGAAGTACATTACAAAATCTTGTAAAAAAGGCTCCTAAGACAAGTAAAAGGGAGATTACTCTCATGGGCTGCGAGATGCTTTCATCGTTCAATTAAGCGGTGACGTATGATTGTACGTGGTCGCGTACAACTCCTCACATCGATATTAGAAACGATATAAAAACTTGGAAATTGTTTGTTACTATTTTGATTTTTTTGGGGCAAATTGTAGTTATAAACTAGGGCTAAACGGTTACACACAACTTACAGGTCCTTGTGATTATTCCATTTTTCAGACCTTGCTTACCATAAGACTACAGAGCAATCAAGTACAGCTCATAATGGGTTCAGCAGCAGAGCTGTCGACGAAAACTACTCCTCTTTTTACAACGATAACTCGTGCACTCACACTAGGAAAGAGCAAGACCCTTGGTGGAGAGTCGATCTTGGGAGAGAATACATCGTGACAGGTACGCGACACTGAGGCGACACTGAGGCGCAAACATTTAACTCAAACTTCAACTTGAAATTTCTCAGAAACTCAGCTGAATAATGCTGGAGAGAAACTGACCCTGACTGTAATTGTAGTTCTGCAAACTGCATTCAGTTATCATACACATAACACAGTTTTATTTAAGAACGATGTTGTCTAATCTTAAAGAAAAATTCCTGCTTTTCCAACTTTCGGTTGTATTAGAAGTTTTTCATGAATGAGACCTAATAGCATTTAAAATAAAATGATCTGATTGCCATTTCATTCATTTGTCTTATGTACTTTTTGTCGACAAAAAAAAACCTGAAGATGAAAACAAAATATTTAGAAAACATTCATCCCACATTCTCTCTTTGCACAGATGTGATGATCGTAAATCGGCATGGATCTTATCAAAGGCTTAAGAACTTTGATGTGAAAGTCGGGATCAGTAAAAACAACAAAGAGAACCCGACTTGTCACGACCGCGTTAGGTATGTTGATCAGGCGCAAGCACTCAGGGTGCAGTGCGATCCACCAATTCCAGGGCGATATGTGTCGGTACAGATGTATCAAAACGAGTATCTAACTTTGTGCGAGGTGGCAGTTTATTCAAGAGTTGGTAAGTAGTGAAATCAATGATGTTCGAAATATATTCGCCACATTGAGAGAGAAAAACGAGATTATTCGCAAGCTAAACTAAGCTCCATTTGTTTTCACAATTTTTTAATCTTCTCAGCTCCAAATTGTATTGGAACCCCACTGGATTTACGAAAACAATTTTTTTTTAAATTCAAGCTCAAGCTTGATCCCTTTTTATCATTAGACGAATCACTTTTTCATGCAAAGCCACTCGCTTTTGCCAAGCTGTAAGGGCTTGTATAAAATATGCAGATACATGTGGGGCCACTCTTTTACTTTTTTTGTGTCATTTTGTAGGTAGCATGATCTTCTTCCTGCCTTAAATTTCCTTAATGAGTTTTTTTTTCTCTTTACCCTTATTATATATTTGCGACTTTCACTATACGAATAATTTTTTAGGAGGGCTCTCTAGAAGAATGATCATTGAATTTCTTCCCTCTATCTGATCAACGAACATTGCAACTGCCACACAATGGTGTATAATTACGGTGCTATTTGAAAACATCAAGGAATGGCTCCATCTTTTTTTATTATTTTTGCTTTTTCCTAGGCTCTCTCGCAGATCTTTGTCAACTGAATAATGGCGGCTGTGAACAGGTTTGTTATAACCTGTGTAATTTGAGAGTCAAGTGTGGCTGTCTGCCTGGTTACACTCTGGCTTACGATGGAACGACTTGCGTTGGTGAGTAGCTTTTCAATATCATAAAATAGGTTGTACCTCCGTTTCATACAATAGTGATCCTCTAGGAAAGGCTCATGCACTTCTGTGGCCAATTAAAAAGGTTGGTTTATGCTTAGCGTGCGTATACCGAATTATGGATGCACGCGGGAAGCTTGGAGAGCACAAGAGAAGCACAAGAGCAATTATAGCTTCTTGAGTGCTCTCCAAACCTCCCAAATACATCCATAACTCGATACAAGCACAGCTAAAGAATGAACCCATTCTTTTATAACATGGCATACGCACACAAGTTGTGCACGAAGAAAAGGACTCTGTAACAACTGTCGGGTTTACCACAAAATCGTCTTCTACCCGAAAACTGTGAATAAATGACAAGGCTAAAACGACCAAGAAATATTTTTTGCGATCTTCATATAAAGAAACACTCTAAACTGATTACGTGCATAAAAATATTGTTTTGAAGTACGTTAATACTTCGGGTAAATAATGCATTCTTCCTTTTTTCCAATACAGATCGGAACGAATGTAATCTCAATAATGGAGGTTGTGACAGAGCAAATGGTCGGTGCGTCAATTCTCCTGGTAGCTTCCACTGTGAATGTAATGCGGGATACCATCTTCAAGAGAATAACCAATTCGTTTGCGAAGGTGAGTAGCGTAATGAGTACAACAGATACAAACCACGCATAAGGTATTAAAGAACTATGCTATGGCGTTTTTCATTAACTCGTTAGATTACCTTCGTTAAAGAGATCCCAAAATAAATAAGCCGCGGAAAACGGCATCGAATACTGCTACATTTTATTAATTTATACAGGGCGAATCTTTTTTTCAAGTAACTCTGAGCTTAGTTTTGCCACTGCTAATCTGTTAACAGATAGAGTAGATAGAGTATGTTTCTTCCAACTTTCATTCGTAAATTATACTTAGGCTGGCTTTTTTTTCCATCTTTTTTTCCTCCAATGGATTTCATTTTAAATTTACCTAGATCGGAATGAATGTGGCATGGATAATGCTGGATGTGAGCAGATTTGTAGTAACAGCGATGGTAGCTTCAACTGTGATTGTAGAGCAGGATTCAGACTTAAATCAGATAAAATGGGTTGCGAAGGTGAGATTAATCCCACAACAAAAACATATTTGTTGGGCTAAAATATACTACTATTTTCTATAATTATGGGGCCATGATGCGCGCTTTGCGAGCTCCACTGTTAATATATGTATCATTTTGATGTTCTATCACAAATACCGCAATCTGACTGACGGCGCTACTTCCCATCTAATCTTAATCAAAACAAATCTATTAGCTTTCTATCGCAAATACTGCAGTCTGATTTGCTGTGCTACTTGTTATCTATTTAACAAGAGCTCACAATTTCTATCACGCATAGAAATTGAAATCGAATAATATTATTGTTTTATTAAATATGTATTAGTAATTTCGGCCTTTAAAAGAAATAAACGGTGTATGTTTCAAATCGATTTCGTTTACAACGGCACGCTGTGAGGTCATCCACTGTACTAACTACAAACCACGTAACAAATAGCGAGTAGCGAAGCGAATCAGATTACAGCATTTCTTATGTAAATCTATAATCATTAACTTCGTCATTAACGATGGTTAGAATATAACTTGACATGGATATCTCATTAGAAAGAACAATCTTTTTGTTGTAGATATTGATGAATGTAAGGCACCAGACTCGGGAGGTTGCAGTCATACCTGCCATAACTATGAAGGTGGATATTACTGTAACTGCCCGGCTGGCTATCACCTGATGGAAGACGACAAGACATGTGAAGGTACCGTTTCATAAATATTTATTCTTTTTTTTAACTTTTGCAGGAATAAGAGCCTTAATATCAAACTAAAAAACTGAATGCATAGTCAGTTTGTCGATAGGCGACAAAAGAACGCAGGGGGAAGGGGATGGTGCGGCTTGTTGTGAGTTCCTTTTTCTTTGGCTTTACGACCCATAAGCGCATTGATTTTCAAATATGTTTGTTAAAATAGTCTTCTTGAGTATTTCGAAATTAATGAAAGCTATTAAAAACTAGCTACCCAAGGCTCCACCTTTAATCTTCGCTTTCATAACACATTTATTAGCATAAACTAATTTATTACAGAGATTTATTGCCCAGCATTGGAAGTTCCATTAAAGGCAGAAATAACGCCAGAAATCTGCACTGATGGTCGTGCAAATATTGCGCGTAACACTGCGTGTGAGTATACGTGCGCGACTGGATACCGTCTTGTAGGTGATAGTTCTCTGGTCTGCCAGATTGACGGATTTTGGCAAGGAACAGCCCCACGTTGTGAACGTAAGTAGCACGGATTATTTTGATAAATCCAGTTTTTGTATGTGTTCAAAAGGCAGTAACAGGTGAGGAAGCTGGTCGTTGGACGATCTATTTCTGATTTCGCATCTTCAGTAGCTAGATAATGGTACCTATCAATCATTGCGTTTTTCAGGGTAATTCAGTATTATCAACCGAGTTGATAACGAAAAATTGGCCATCGTAAAGAGTTTGAAAGTTGAAATTTCGAGCGTTAGACCTTCGTCAGAGCGAATGGACGAAGGGCAAACGCTCAAAACGTCAGCTTTTAAACGTCAACTCTTTTCTGTAGCCAATTTACGTTCTTAACTTAGCTTAGCGTTTATTCGTTATGTTTTCCTCCCTTAATATAAAATAACTACAAAGCAACCACAATGTGACTTTAAAATGGAACTTACAGCTCTGTATAATAAGGCAAAAACACTCCAACGACAGTCGATCGGTCTGGCAAGCTTTATTCTGGCTGCATATTGATAATTATATCCACGAATATATATGTTTTCACAGCGGTTATGTGTCCGAAGTTGACTGTACCAGCCAATGGTGCTGTGGTTCCATCGTCATGCGGGGAAAGTGATTCACAGTACGGTGTGGAATGTTTCTTTGAATGTGATGCAGGCTATGTATTGAAAGGACCCAGATTTACGACATGTCAAGGAGATAATTCATGGTCTGATATGGCGTCAATTACTTGCGAGAAAGGTAAAGAAAGTAGCCTATAACATACAAAACATCCAAGAATATTTCGTGTGCCTGCAGTAGTTTTCAGTGATGACATTCTGTTACATTTTCGCTTTTGTACCATCCTCCCCCTTCAGCTTCCTGGTTCATCTGTCCTTGACGATGATAACCTTCAGTAAGTAATAATATACATGTATAACGTTCAAAATCTCCGTCTGCATGTTGTTATTAGAAAGTCAATTTTGGCGCAAGCCTCAGACTCAAATGCTGGAGTTTTAAAGTATTTGCACTAAAGGACTTAGATTCATTATCTTGCACATATAAATATCTTGCTTTCATACTTAATAAGTGTTTAATGATCCGTGAATCAAGTGTTCGATGAACAGAGTCGAAGAACTTGATTAGAAGGACTTAGATTCATTATCTTGCACATAGAAATATTTTGATTTTATACTTTATAAGTGTTTAGTGGTCCGTGGATAAAGTGTCCGATGGACAGAGTAGAAGAACTTGAACCAGACAAGTCTGCAGTAGCTCTAGGATTCAAGTGGCAGAAACCGCAAACAAACGTGGACTCCCCTACGGTGTCGCCTAGCAACTACGATGAGAATTATCTTTTCCCTGTCGGTAAACATAGGGTTATGTGGACAGCGACACTATCTGGGAGAGAGATAAGCTGCACCTTTTTCATAACCGTCATCGGTGAGATTACTGAATTTTACGATTCATTGTCAGAAAATAACGAATATCTTACTCAATTAATGAACTCACCTGGTCAACAAACCTTGCGGATAACGTGAGGAAACTCAAAAGATTACATTATTTTCGCTTTTATCAGATGTCTGCAAAAATAAACTTCAATTTTGTTCCTACCTGAAAAGCATCTACAATGAGAGTTTACATTCCCGCATAAAAAAGCCCCTTAATCCATATGTGGAATCGATGATCATGTTCATTAGTTCAGTGAATAATGCCATACTAGCGTTAGAGAGCGTTTTGGTTAACTGATTGACGTGAAGCCAAAAATACTCACATTACTACCAACTAATTACAGCAAAGGTAAATATTGGAATGAGCTGTGGAATTTCATACGCAAACAACGAAACTCCCTGAGAAACAGAAATATGGTTTAATCTGATTTGTTGAGACAGTGTCGAAGGTGTTTTACAAGCGTTGTGGGGAGTGGAACACCGATGCAATCAAGGATTAATTTCGTCACTTATAGATAAGTTATTCTATTTTTTGTAGATGTCACCCCTCCCTCAGTTCAAGGCTGCCCAGCGTCTTTTACGGAACAAACCGACACCTCTTTCAAAGAAGTTTCGTGGAAGGAGCCTACATTTACTGATAACGTAGGCGTTGCTAGTGTGTTATCCAATCGTGAGCCAAAATTCGACATGGAAGCTTTTTCAACATTAACAATAATATATGTTGCAACCGATGCTGCGGGAAATGAAGCCAACTGCAAGTTTGACATCACTGTCGAAGGTAAAAAATGCTGCAAACACATTCTCAGTTTTCGCACTATTCATAATTTCATTTATTTACACTGTTTTGTAGTTTTTTTGTTCTCAATCGATACACCCATCGACAAGCTTGCTCATCTACCTTAAAAATACCTATTCGTCAAATTTGGTGGGGCACCACCCACTATGAATTGTATCAGGCAAGCCTTTAACAATCTAATAAACTAGGTAATTGCGAGGCTTAATTTGTTATGATCACAACCCTGCACTCCTATGTGATTTCATTTCCCATCCAAAGTTTGCTTTTCTCCTATTTTACAGGCACTAAGTGCAGGACTATTCATCCTCCCAGGAATGGCGTTCTCGAAGAGATTCCTGGCACCTCTGTAAGGTTGATATGTGACTCTGGCTTCCTTCTCAACCCGACTCCCCCCGGATCGCCTGGACTGCTCGAACGTCCTCTTTACGAGTGTCAGGGCAACAAATGGATTTCTAGGGATGATCAAGTGTCCGAACTGACCAAGCATGTAGATTGCACAGGTAAGAATAATTTTCGAATGCTCTCTCTATTTATGAAAAAGCAAATCATTACTTCAATATTGCATTATGACAGGAAACGTTTATATAGACAGTGACTCACGTGAACAATGCAGACCAATGAATATGACCAAAGAAAAGTAAAACAAAAAGCTTTTATTTTACTGCTTGGGAGGTACTAAGGAGTATCAAATCTTATTTTCAAATCTTATTTTAGCTTACAGTGAAGCAGACGGGCAAGCTTGCAAAGAAGGTTCCGCTTTGATGGGAGGCATGTGTGGTATGTTAAAATTCATGAAAACTTCTTAGAGGGATTATTCACCACTTTTTATTTTGCGTGATTGCTGCTCTTACAAGTTTCTGTGACTTAATCCACCATACCTCCCTGTAACTGGTACGCAATACCCCAAGATGTACTGAATTTATGTATTCTTTTTTATACGGACATAGTTTTTTATACCACTGTCTTTTATTTTTCCAAATCCGTTTTTTTTAGTTAATCATAATTCATCTAAATGGTGTGTAAGCTGAGACGAAGACATGGTTTTTCAAGGAACCCTCATCTCCAGAACATTGTCTTTCGCTATTGATAAAGTAAAAAAAAAACCGGTTGCATGCCTTTCACTTCGATAAGATTCGTTGTTTTCCACAGATAACTTGTTCATTATTTCGAAAACCAATTAATCATGAGAGATACCGAACGTGGTAGTTAAACGTTGTAGTTTTTGCAAATGGATCATCACTTCTCGTGTGAGCTTACAATTTGCATATGTACTTTGTGACATGTTTTTTACCTTTTTTCCTCAGTGAACTGTCCTCCGGGAACATATGGAGATTCTGGCAAATGTAAAGAATGCACACCTGGCTTTTTCCAGGATACAGAAGGAATGACGGAATGCATGCCATGTCCAAAGAAATTTTTTAGTAACACGAGAGGATCTACATCAGATGCAGACTGCAAACGTAAGGAGATATTTTGAATTTAATGGTTGAAGTTAACGTCGGTTTCGTACTTTAGTGAAAAGGTGTTTCTGCGGTTCATATGCAACTTATACGAGACCGAAATTTGAAAAATAAAAACCGCCCCACAAGTCTTATTTATGGTAATGGTAATATAATGGTAATAGGACTAAGTGGAGTCCAATTCGGTCTGCAATCATACGAGTGATTAACAAAATTGGACGGTCCCGAAACGGGAGTCCGATTACAGCTCTACGGAATGATTAGTGAGAAATAAAGCAGCTATGCACTAATCACGTTTGAGGAAATTGTAATGGTTATGATTAATAGTAGAATGGTATGTCTGTTAGAATTCTCCTTGTTCAAAGACGCGATGAATCTCTTGTATCCGTTAATTATTTGTAGCTTCTCGTTTCAGCAATCTGCAGGCCTGGTGAATATTCCATTAATGGTGGCGTCGATCCTTGTTTGGACTGTCCAGTGGGAACATACCAAGACAATTACCAACGAACTAAGTGCCACGCATGCCCAGCAGGTTCGACTACATTGAGCAAAGGAAGTTCCTCAGCTGATGACTGCAATTGTAAGTGATACCTCGCAAGAAGGCATTATCTGTTGCATCTCATTCGAAAGGCGTCGACTCCAAACTGGGATATCGAATGACACTTTGTAATTTACTTCATTCTAATAATTCTGGCTCTATTTTCCTTATCCTTAATACAAGGTGATAAAAGGTTCAAGAATTGTTATAAGCCGATAGTGGAAAATTTTAGATCGCCAGTTCCTCTCTATAATTGGGGTTTTCTTTGGATTTCATTATCTACGATTCCCTGATTGAACCACGATGAAAATAATTATAAGTTTCCTACCGTGGATTTTGAAGACTGAACTCTGTCCTGTTAAATATTTTCTTCTCTTATCTTCCAGGTGCCCTTAAAATCACTATGACGATGCCAACACGAAGTCAAGTCCTACGTGTGCAACAAACTGTAAGACTCGCTTGTTTCATCGAGGGACACCCGATACCAAAGATCACGTGGACTAAAGTTGGAGGTAGTGTTTCCTTAAATTCGTCAATAAAATCACAATTGAGTAGGACTCCTGTCATAGAAATCTTATATGTGAACTGTGGATTAATAAAAGAATACGAGTGTGACCCTCGCGGTAATGAACACCACTAAATCAGTGGTGAAAAAAAAAAATATCTAGGCTAATAACAAAATAACCAGCTCCCAGTTAGCTTGTCAGATCATTCGGTATCGCAGAGGTCATGAGGCCTGAACTTTTCTAAAGTTTGTTTCCACTACTGCCAACGTAGCGTTCATTACTTCGGGGGTAACATTTATATTCATTTTTATTTTGTTATTATACATGATACTGCGAGCGAATTATTACGATAATGCCATCATCCTTGCAATGATTCTTTGTGAAAACTGCGGAGTTTCTATTCAAACGTAGAAGCGGTGAACTCATCACAGTCAAGCCAGTATTGGTTGAATAAGTAAGCTGTGTGTAGAAGAATATGCCACCGCCTTACAAACCCGTGCGATACGAACTTATAATGCACTTCTCACTGTCTGCAGGTTCAATGCCTTCTGGGCGAGTCACCATCGAAAATGTATATGATTCGGACGCGAAGTTGAATGGTGTTGTGTACAGCATTCGCAATGCTGATGTCCTTGATACTGGAACTTACGAGTGCAAAGTTGAAAATAAATTTATGGGAATTGCTAAGCGTGTCACGATTGATGTACTTCAGGTCTCTGAATAGCCGCAGGTAAGGTTGGATTGTTTTACCGAATAGCTATAAACTTCCCTTTTCGCTTAATATTATAATTGACTGAATATTCCATGAAGCGGTCGGTACTTTTGTCTCAAAGAGGAATTTTCAGTTAACTTAATAAAGTTCTGAAATGATTATCGTGAATCGATTCCTGGCCCATCATATCAGATAAAAATTGCATGTGAAACATGTGAAAATAGAAAAAATTAAAGACATGGAGAATCGCAGGAAATTATATATATATGTGTGTGTGTGTGTTTATGTATTAAAATTAATATATATATATATATATATATGTTCAGCCGGTTAAACTAAACGCATAACCTGTTTTTTTTTACAGACCTCTTTAAGCCGAAAATCGAAAATATGGATCGAATGGATCTTGCCTTGACGGGAGGAATAAAGTTTTAGCGCTAAATGTTCTAGAAGAAAAATTTTAGTGTAATAGGGTAAATGGTTTAAACCCAGGCGTAATAACAGGGGTAGTTAGAAAAAAAGGATGCTTTCATGTAACGGGCTTTTAAAGGGTTAAGAATGTAATAAAGATTATTTGAAAATTATCAAGCCTTGCAGATTTTTATTGTGAATTGAATTAGTTTTCAATTTTTTCAGAAAAGCACCGTTTATTTAATGCAGCATAAGAACCTTGCATGGTCATTATTATTTTCTGCTCTATGACCCAATATATTACATTCCTACTTAATCCCGTTTAAATTAATTATTTCATTTCAGAGAATTGGCTCAGATTTTGTCTGAGAGCGATGCTGTGAACTCTTAGTGAGAAATATTGAGTTTGGTGCTCCCACAAGCAAGGACTTGCATTTCAGTAATTGGCTTTTGTTTGCGACAAACTCACCCATGCTTAGTTTTAGATTTTTACCGATCTCCAGCTTGGTACGTAGGAATTGATACAGATAACAACTTCAACGACATTTTACTCAAAGTCACTTTGAAAAAACTCCCAAAAAACATCTCAAACAGTTGAGGCGCTCTAGTCAAAGCAGTAACTCCTGTCTGTTAGACGTCGTCTAACAGACAGGACAAAGGCTTAGACAAAGGCTTTATCGATTGATGAGAATTTGTTTCCTGGCGCCGTTATCTTTGTCTAAAAAAGAGAACCATTTCTTAATTTTTCTATCGGTAGATTCAGACAATCAAAATTTGTAAGGTGAATTTCAAACCGGTAAAAGGCGCCTAAAACTACGTATAATAGCAACGAAAATTTTGCGCCTACTTCAGTTAAATTTCTCTGTCTTCTTAGGGGGCGAAAAGCAATAGTGATTTTGAGTAAACAATCTACAAAAACAATCGCGCACGCATTATTTCTTTCTCACGGTCCAATTCGATAAATACAAAAAAATAAAACTTCAATTAAACGATTTTCCTCACTCATCCGTGTGCAAAAGGCCTACGGCGGCAAAGTCGTAGTAGTCAGGGTAAGAGTGTAAGGAATATAGAAAATATTATTCCAGGGGAAAGAAAAAAGCAGCCAAGGCTAATAAAGAGAGCAAAAGAAAAGCAAGGAAAGCATCTGCGATATAAAATTAATGCTTTAAAATAAATTCTTCTCTTACCTCTTTAAAAAAATATTAACGACCAGCTCTATCAAGTTTGGTTGCCGAACTGATTTTAGAATTTGAATACCTAGTAGTCGCACTTAAAAAGGTGATTTTGGGGTAATGAGAAAAAAATTTATGAAATATCAATATCAGTAGAACTGTGCAGTAATTAACGAGTTAAACTTTATTTGGCCATCTGACTTTGGACTTCAAACAGTTTCCCCAGCTTTACACACACTGGGTCACTTTCCCCATTTTTGTTGTTCGCTTGACCACCAAATACAGATCTCTCAAATTGTTGTGTCTTCACGTTTTGCTGCCATTAAATACTTTTTTATTGGTTAATACATATTTCTGAAGGGTACTTTTTTTTTACCTTTAGCTCGAGTTTTGGTATTGTAGATACACGAGCTTATCTGTTATAGAGAAAGACGTCATCGTTACTTAGCAAATACTTACAGGAATGAGGTAGAATTTGATTGTTTACCCAATGTACACCTGTGATTTTCTGGGGAAAACAGAATATTGTCCCTCCAAGTTGTTATTTTCTGGGGGAAGCGAAATATTTTACCTAAAAGTTCAGAAATCGGTACAGCTGCTTAAAAACCTAGGGAAAAACGGTGGATGATGAAAAGATAACTTTGACCTAACAAGAGCTTAGAGCATAAAGCTTGAGTGCTTAAGCTCATGATAGGAATTTTAAGATTCACTCTAACGGTCTTCTATGCAAGTTTGATACATTCTGATATCATCAATATACTCCTTCATGGGGAGAGAGACTGTTTGAGAGAACTGAGTTATAATTACTTCCCGGAACGATTTCGTTAAATCCAATTTTATTTATATCTCCAACTCAGTGCAGTTTGGTTATCACAAACCTCGGTGCACATTATCGTTATACAAAAAGTGCTTATAAATCTTAATCACTCTTTTACAATTGGATTTATCCAATGTCTGGTATCAAATGTCCAAAAGGCTTTCTAATGATTAAGAAGTTCACATCTCTGATGTATCACCAAATAACCGTCGATTTAACTCCACTGAAATAATATTAATTACATAGATCAAACATTCCGTTTCAACCAAAAATTGATACAGCTTTGTCAACAAATGATATAAATCAACTCAGGTGTCTATGAATTCCACCTTTATTAAATTTTTGAGACACACGAAGCGCTTTTATTCTAAGGAGCCTTAATTTGTCTTACGGCTCAAACAGAGGACAAGAAACTCATAGGACGGGTGGATTGCCAGGGCTATGCATTGTCCTCGCTCGGTTTAGTAGAGAGATTTAAAGAAAAAGTCGATCAACATGCACAAAGTTGTAGCACTAGTATTTTTGCTCTTATTGGTCGTGATATTTTGGAATTATGTTGAAGCAGCAGGTAAGTATTTCTTTGTTGCTAAAAATGTATCATCACTTCATTGCTTCTAAACCAGTCAAAAAATTTTAGACAAAGAGAGGTTTAGCTGATCTCTCAAGGTAAAAAAGTAAACCTAAAGGTTCTATTTGAACTGAAGCCGAAAAATTATATTAAACTTGCGTTCTGACGATCTTTGAATCATTTCGTCTCATGGATTGTAGATTCTTATTAAAAGCCACAGAACTTTCTAAGTTTTCGCCATAATTTGTTAAGATGATGTTACCCAAGAAAAGAGAAAAGGTGTGTATAAGTTCCTGTGAAATTCTTTACATCAATCGGGATTCAAGAACTATTGATGATGCCCTTCTTTGACTCGATGCACTTACTTCAATTTATTTTATAGCGATACTAAATGCTGTTCTCTTTTTCGTTTTGAATCAGAACAGATCCAAAGATAATTTAAAGTGTTGAAAACTTATTCAGCTCTAGAAACTACATGATAGGAGAATCAATGCCTTACTTCAGCCCTTTCCCATTGTTTATTTTATTTATTTATCATTGTCATTTCTTTTTTGCGTTATTCTTTCTCGAAAGTAAATGGAGGCTGGTCCGGTTGGTCGGCATGGAGCGGCTGTGCAGCAGGTATTTGCGCGGGAAATCAGCGCATTCGAACGAGAACTTGCACCAATCCCCTCCCAAGTGATGATGGAAAATATTGCGATGAAGGAGAAAGCTCGGAACAAAAAGATTGCTTAAGTAAGTGCCAACACACATGTCAGTGGCTGTAAAAGATCAATAATTTAGAGTTAACCCAATAAGCTAGCGTGAATATTTGCAGCAAAATAACAATAGCAATTTCAAATCTTCTTGTTTGGCAAAATCAACTAAGAAACACATCAGAGCTGGTATAGAAAAAACGGTGCTTCCTCGTATTCATAAATATAGAATACTTTTCGTATCATAATTGTATTTCTTTCTCTATTTCGCTTATCTGGATAACTACTGATGTCAAATCATTTCAGTTGACGGGGGCTTCACAGAGTGGAGCCAATGGTCTTTGTGTGACAATCCGTGCGGAGGATCTGTGGTCAACAGAAGTAGAGCATGCACCAACCCCACTCCCACTCCCGATGGGAAACCGTGTTCTGGTGATGCATTCCAAACGAAACTTGAATGTATCTGGCCGTGTCCAAGTAAGTAAATCCCCTCATTTAAAAGATTCCTATGTAGGGATCAGTCATCAGTGATGCGAAATGAATGTATCACTAAAGTCAATTTAAGTATTTTTTTAATTGTGAATTCTAAGCTGATAACAAGCAGTTTGAAGTTGTTAGCTTTCACGTTTTGAAAAGATATCGACAAAAATTGAGAGAAGGTGCACTTGACGGGTTTTTTTAAATACCAGTATGAAGATAATAGCCGTTTGTTAATAAAACTTATGATTGTAAATTGGCAAGGCTATCTGTGAGACTTCAATTTGCATTGTGTCTATATTGTCTTTTAGCTGGTCCTCTTGACGGCGAATGGGGAGCTTGGACTCCATGGACTCAGTGTCCCCAAACATGTGGAATACCTGGAGGGACCGTTCTCAAAAGAACAAGGTTATGCAATCGACCACCTCCGATGAATGGCGGGAAGCAGTGTGTTGGGAACGGCACAGAAACGGCGAGAGCTTGTTTTGCAGAATGCCCAGGTTAAAATAATTCTCCTATTAAAACATCTTTGTCGAATGCAAAGTTCCACATAATCACGACCGTCACAGTCACAGTGACTGTGCAATCAAGAATTCAGACCTCATGATCATTATGACGACAAAATTATTTTGATTTGATTGGAGTTGGGTTGATTTATTTTGTCATTTTTATGTTATTGTTTTGTTGTTTTTTTTATCTTGTTTGATTATTTTTTCCCCATTTTTTCGTTCATTTCTCACTTGATTGCATCCTTCCAGTGTAATACAGTTACAAGGTTAAACACGGAAGCGTGCTATTTATTTTTTTTTACCTTTGTATCATTCACAGTCGATGGTGGCTTTGGTCTTTGGTCATCTTGGACAGCGTGTAGTAAAACGTGTGGTACTGGTTCTCAATCAAGAAGCAGACCCTGTAATAACCCAACCCCTACCGGTGGGGGACAAAACTGCACTGGGGACTCCTCTCAAGCAAAGAGTTGCAAAATCAAGTCATGTCCAGGTGAGGAATTCTTACTTTGTGTGTGCTTTTATGAAGGTCAGACAAAGTGTAGTGTTTATGTAAATGATGAAAAAAAGAGTCGGGTTCTTAATTTATATTGCAACTTTGCCCTTTGCAAATACTTGCATTCGTACTATTAGGTGCGGTAAATGGAGGGTGGTCAGCGTATTCGTCTTGGACAGCATGCACAGAGCCTAAATATTGTCTGCAAGGAATCAAGAAAAAGACGAGAAGCTGTACAAATCCTCCTCCAGCAAATGGCGGTGATGAGTGTGCTGGTCTGGCGGAAGAAGAAAAGGTTTGTCCCACACAAGAGGATGGATGTACAAGTAAGAATTTTTTATAACGTAAATTATTAAGTTTTTCGAAAAAAATAATACATTCGTTGGATTGTTGAAAATTTTCTTCAGTGATCGTGAGCCAAAATGTAAATATGCATAAAA